CAAGATGGACACGATTCCACAGCATAATTTGCCGGGTCAATAACACGGTGTCAATAAATGAATAAAATAAATGAATATTCAAAGTAATGTAAAACCATTAAATCTTTCAATTTAAACAAAAGACAAAAATTTAAATATCATACATATTATTACCCATTATGCTATAATGTTATTACCTAATTAATATTTGTTCTACACGGTATTACCAATAAAATATTTAATTAATTGTCTGCAAAAGTTTGAGCGGAAAAAATAAAATAGGAGGATTTATATATATATATATATATATATATATATATATATATATATATAAAAGTTATTATTTTTATAATTAGGTATAATATTATTAAATTGAAATTATTTAAAATATATAAATCAACATTAAAAAAAAATCTAATTAATTTTGGATATTAAAACTATATATTTATATTAAAGGTGAAATTATAAATAATTAAGTTTCAATAAGTTTAGTTATTTCTTAAATTTATATTTTATAAAATATATAACCGAGATTAATATTTTTTCTATATACTAAGTTAGTTTGGAAGAATTTTTCATTTTTAGTCAATTATTAATAGTTATTTTTTTTTTCATTTTTGAAAATATTAATAGTCATTTCTTATTTCAATTGACCTAAATTTTTTGTCATTTTTATTCTTAGTCAATTATTCTTTTTTAATACATATTAATTAATTAGTTAATTATTAATAACAGCTTTTTTATATTTCCACTAACTTTACATTTTATAAAAAATATAATCAAGATTAATATTTCTTTCTATCTCAGCTAAACGCTAAGATGCAAACTTCATTTTACATATTTATTAATACATTATACCAGTAATTTTTATATTTTTAGTAACTTATTAATATTCAAGTATTTATATTCATTTCATTTTTCAATTATCCTAATTTCAATGAAAATTTTTATATTTTCAGTAATTTATTAATATTCAAGCATTAATATTCATTTCATTTTCATTTTTTAATCAAGTATTAATATTCATTTAATTTTTTACATTTGAGTCAATTTTGAAGCATTTTTAATTTTCAGTCAATTATTAATAGTCATTTCTTATTTCAATTGGCGTAAATTCCGTGCCGTTTTTATTCTCAGTTAATAATTATTTTTTAAATACCATAATTTCACCTATGAACATGGTGTTGATAAACGAATAAAACAAATGAATATTCAAAGTAATGTAAAACCATTAAATCTTTCAATTTATATAAAAGACAGAAATTTAAAATTTTAAATATAAAATATATATGCTTATTCGTGCAGTTGACTGAATATGCTTATTACCAATTAATTATATTACCAATTATATTATAAATTATCATAGATATTATTACTCATTATGCTATTATATTATTACCTAATTAATATCTGTTCTACGTGGTATTACCAATAGCATGTTTAATTAATTGACTTCAAAGCCCGCATGGGTAGCTCAACTGGTCATAGAGGTGAAACTTTGGAAAAATGACCAGGGATCGAGTCTCACCAGCGACAGTGTGGTAGCAACCTCTCAAAGTGGGGCTCCTTGTGCGCAGTGAGCATCGGTCTAGTTTCTGTGGTTCATGTTCAGTCCAGTCACCATGATTTACATCTTCTCAAATGCTCTGTCGGGCCGGAGTGTGGGCCCATGCAATAAGATATATATATATTAGGTATTGTTTTTATAATTAAGGTATAATATTAATATATTATTAAATTGAAATTATTTAAAATATATAGAACCACATTAAGAAAACTCTTATTAATTTCAGATATTAAAACTAAATATTTATATTAAAGGTGAAATTATAAATAATTAAGTTTCATTTAATTTAGTTAATTAAACTATCTAAAATCTAAATAAATAAAATCTTAATATAAAGGATTTATATTAGACACGTATTTGTACACATCTCGCATAAAAATTATTAGTTAATATTGTGGGATGAAAGATACTGTACAGCAAAATTAATTGCATTAATTGTTGATAGACTTTCTTGATATGATGGGGTTCCATTCATGAGGAGCAATATGTAATTAACCACATTTAAAATCCTATAGAAATATACAATTACTCTAAATTTTGAATAACTTTTATTATCCATAAAACTAATAACTATATATTTGCTCAAAAAACTAATAACTATATATAGACTTCTACATAATTTGGCATATCCTCATTTCATATATTTTACCAAACTTATAAATAGACTATACATGAATAATAACGATCACTTCCTTATTTTTTTTTTTTTTGAAAAGAGCCTGGGCGGCATCCATTGGAAATATGCTGAAATAGAGTGTGGCGGACCACTGTCCGAGTACATAGGTGCTGAACAATTAAAGGCCGAAGTGGCTAAAATATGTGCTAAACAATTATCTGATCTAGGAACATAATTAACTGAAACATAATCAAAGGAAACCATTCGGTTTCTGCAGGTGTCAATGGCATAGCCGAGGTACGAACGTGGTGTTTCCTTCGGTTGCGATAAATACTGTTGTAGTGACAAACAGTCCGTTAGTATGTCTACCGATCTCTCTCCACGATCCCATAGCCAGGATAATACTTCTTTACATGCAATTGCTTCTGCCATAAGCGGGGAAAAATAGTCTATCAATGGCGCCTGTAGAGCTGTGATATACGATCCCTGTTCGTCTAGGAAAATTGCCCCAACAGCGGCCTTACTTGTGGCCTGGAAAAAGGCCGCGTCAAAGTAACATCTCTTCCGTACGGAGGCAGCCGCAAGGGGTGTGGGCAGAACGGCAGCAGGCTGCAATGCCGCACCTTGGTGCTGGTCGGGGATTGCCGTGGCCAGTCCACGCGGAGCACGTTGCTGCTTCGGGCGGTCCGGGTGTGCTATTTGCCATGCCCGGATCGCTGCGGTTACAGTTGCAATTATCTTTTGTGGTCTGGGCAAGTATGCATCCCACACAAGCTCCATTCCTCGCTCGCCATATATAGTATAGTAGGCCTACTGCATAAATAATTCCATCATCATCTAGAATATTTAATATGTCATTAAACCAAACATGGAAAATATCTGTGATAGTACTGGGGATTGGAAGGCGAGATTGTGCCCAAATGTTCCTTGTATAATCACATTCAACCAAAGAGTGCATAACATTCTCATGCATAATCCCACACATAGCACATGCTGGGCTAATCTCCCCTCTCTTTATAATGAGGTTCGTTGTTGTGGGCAATATATTATTCAAGGCTCTCCATAAAAATGTTTTCCATCTCGGGGGTACTCTGAGCTTCCATAATTTGGGCCATTTATCAAACATCCCTGTCGTCTGTACATAATTTCCCACTATTTGCCTGTAACCGCTTTTAACCGAATATTCACCTATTATATCACCATGCCAATACCACATATCATCATAATCTGGTGACATTGGTATTTTCAATATCCGTGTCACATCCTCCGGAATGAAAATATCAGTCAAAATATCCTGGTCACAGGCCGCCGTTTCTTGATCTATTAATCCCATTACAGTTGCCTGTGCCAAATATGGTGGTTTGTCAGTGATTATTTTCGCATTATTCTCATCCTGAAGCCATGGATGATCCCAGATAAGAGTTCCTTTCCCATTCACAATCCTGCGTCTGACTCCCCCACAAATTAATTCCTGTGCAGCCATAATACTACGCCAGCAGTAACTTGGGTTATTTCCTAAGGCATCAAAGAATGTCCCTTTAGGATAGTACCTGGCTTTATATATTCTGGAAACCAGTGATTCAGGTTTGGTGAGTAAACGCCAGGCCTGTTTCCCCAGCATAGCTAAATTAAAGGCATGCAATTCTTTAAAGCCCAATCCCCCATACTTCTTAGGGATGCATAATTTATCCCATGCCTTCCAATGGATGCCCTGATCATCCTTAGATCTCCACCAGTAACGATTCATAGCTCTCTCAATGGCTGTGCAAGTATTCATAGGTAGTAAAAAGACACTCATAGAAAAGGTGGGCTGTGCCACACTTTTCAACAAGACTTCCTTACACGTGAAAGCAATTTCTTATTCCAGGACCCAATCCGTTGTCTTACCTTATCATCAATATATGAGAACACTGCTCTCCTATTCCTGCCCACGATGGGAGTCCTAAATACCTCCCAAAATTCGGAGCCTGAACCACTCCCAAAATACTGGCAACCTCCTCTCTGTGGTCATCCCGCGTATTCTTACTATAGCAAATACTTGACTTATAGTAATTCACTGCTTGCCCAGACATTTCCTCATACACCGATAAACACTGTTTCACCACATTGGCTTCCTGCGCAATTGCTCTAAAAAAGAGCAAGCTATCATCTGCAAAAAAAATCTATATATATAAATAGGTTTTTGGGGTGATAAAAAAATCTATAGATACTATCCGATGATGTGCACTAAGTAAACTATGCTTTTGAGTAATACTCTGCAAACCATACAAAAGAAGTAAACAACATTATGAAGACCATGTACAACGAGTTCGACCAAGAAAGTATTAGCAAGATAGTTTCATTTTTTAATACGATGTGTGATTAGCTAATTTACTATAGTTAATGGATAACAGAAAAGATGTAATGTCATGTCAATAGGTAAGTATTAAGAGAAAAAATGAAGGGGGAAATATAATAATACTTTTAAACTAAAGTTGATGATATATGATTTTGACCGAACTTATATAAAGATACTAATCAATAAATTTTTATATGGTCATGTATATCTATTGATATTAATTTACGAGAAATTAGTAAATATATATTTTAAAAAACCTAAACCTCATCAATGATGCCACATTAAAAACAAATATGTTAAGAAATAAATTTAAAATGGAATGAAATAATTTCCATTTTGCCAGCAATGAGAATGGAGAAGTTTATAGAACAAGTGAAGGGCTTATAAAGCCTAAAAACAGGGAAGGAAGTAAAAACTGTCGTTTTCTGAATCATTTTACATTTTCCACTTCCATGGTTATAGTCCTGGTAATAATAGCCTTGGAAGCTTTCCATTCTGATTCTTCCAATTTATTTCTCTTTCTACACCAAGCAAATTCAAGCACCAAGAAAGGAACATACAAACAACTCTCTCTCTCTTGCTCTCTCTATCTCTCTCTCTCTTTCCATACCCACCTCTCTCCCCCTTGTTTCTTAAACAATACCCAAACCCTATGGCTCAGTCAAATTGAGACTTCCTTCCTTGGTTACTGTTATTAAGAAGTTTCCAAATTGATTTTTGTTTATCTCCAGTGATTTTCCATCTCTGTACTTGAGTATTGATCTGGGGTGTGGATTATTAGGTCATTCTTTGGGTCTAGCGTGAGAGTATGCAGGGTGTGTTTTGAGAAACTTGATCTGGGTCTTTGTTATTTTATTGGGATTTTGAGTTGTTGATCTGGGCTTGTGTTCATATTGGCTCTATTTTTCTGATTTGGAAGGGGAAGGGGAATAGGATCAAGATTTAGGCTGGTTACTGAGGGGATTGGTTTGTGTAGTGTATTATGAGAATCTGAAGAGGTGTTTCAATGGCTGTAGCAGAGTTGGTTGAGATCAAATTCAGGCTTGCTGATGGCAGTGATATTGGACCAAACAAGTATAGTCCTAGTAGCACTGTGGGATCCCTCAAAGAGAAGATAATTGCACAATGGCCCAAAGGTTTAAATCCTCTACCTTTACTGATCTTTTTGTTTTGAGAACTCATCTTTATTGATTGTTTGAATTTCTAGTCTGGATTCACTTGATAAACTTGAATTACTGGAATTCTTTTGTCACTTTGTGCTTTGTTGCTGTTTGTGTTTTCTGGTGCTCTAGGGTATAATCCTTCTAATTTCATATTATGCCTTGATTTGGTGGTAAACATAATAATAATATTGTTGTTGTTATTTCTGCTTAAGTATTAAATGCTTTCTTCAAAGGTATTAATGGATGATGTCTCACCTTTGTGCAATTGTGCTTGCTCCCATCACTGGAAAACATAATCAATATTTTGTAGCTAAATGCATCATGAGAAACATATTCTCCCTAGGTTGTAAAAGGAAAATCGTAATCTATGGGCAACCTATGTTTGTTTACCTCCTGGTGATTCTTTGCTGGCTAGGGTCACAAGGCGGGGTTTACACGGGCACACCTTCGGGTAGTGGCTGCGGGTCTCCCTCGTCAGTAAAAAAAATAAAAATAATAAAAGAAACATCAGGTAATGGAAGGATTTCTATAGTTCCAGGTGTGAAATCTGACTATAATTTTCAAATGAGTCTTTGTGGTCTAAAGTTCTTATTTTTATCTTTTGTCTTGTTGTTCTTTGGGGGGCCTTGCTTTTCTCTCTTTGTTGGAAAGTGTGTCTTACTTTGTTGAATTGAAGACTATGCTCACTTTAGTACTGTCAATTTTGCAGATAAAGAAAATGGACCCAAGACGATCAATGATGTGAAGCTTATTAATGCTGGAAAGATACTGGAAAACAACAGAACGCTTTCTGAATCTAGACTTCCAGTCGCTGAAGTTGCAGGTGGTGTCATCACTATGCATGTTGTCGTGCGCCCTCCCATGGTGGACAAAAACAATGGTAATTTTAAAATGGAGTATAAACTTAAAGACACTGAACGTTTTTGACTGTTTTTTCCCGTTTTCTTATTTAAAATATGGGTTCAAGGAGAGGGTTTGTGGGGAATAGACGAATAGTTGCTTCCCTAAATAGAAGCATCATATAGCTTTTACGTTCTTTGATACGAGAAAAGGGGAAGGAAGAAAAAGAATTGTACACTTTATCTAGAGTTGAAAATAACGAGGCCGAGTTTAATTTCTCATGTTCTTTTCCTCCTTACCAATTTGAGGTTTATAGACCATTACCATCTTCTATTTTCTGTGCCCCAGCCATTCCACTTTTATATATCCTGAACTAAACGAAAGTTTAAGAATAGACTACTCCAGAATTTGTTATCCTCTCAGAAATCCGACCTCCTTCACCTACCTTTTGCTATAAAATATGCCTATCATTCACACATGAGATTCATTTATCCAGGATATACTTATAGTTTGGTGTAGCCTTTCGAGTTCATAAATGTGTGGTGCTTTCACATGAATGTGGATCCCCCAGTACATTATCTAAGGATAATTGATGCATTTGTAAATACTAAGGAGCAATTCGTAAGCATTTATTGCGTTTTGGACACTCCTGAACGCATATTTATATACTATACCTTTTTAAGTTGATACGTTCTAACAGTGCGGATTTGGATTTGGTTGTTTGTGACAGATAAACTGCACGATGATACCCCAATAAAGGGCGGGTGTTCATGTTCAATCTTGTAACTCATCTGACAGATAACCTAATTCAGCTTCTTCATCTTCGTTCTATATTATCAACACAAATTGGCGGCGTTCCTTGGGATCTAGTATTGTTGAAGTCGTGGTACCTTGTCATTCTCATCAACACAGGATCTTGCAAATTGCAATTCCCTGGTAAAAGTTGGCAGAAGGCAAGAAAGTGATATGGTGGATTGCTTGGTAGGAACTTTGAAAACCAACCTTTTTCATATTTTATGTTCTGTGGGCACCAACAATGTAAAAAAACATTATTGTTGAAAAAGATCATAGTTTGGCTTTGGGTTTTAGTTTGGAATTCATTGTTACTGGGTTGTTAAGACAAGGAATGCTATACTCTATGATACTATTGTTTGCTTTACTTATACTCCATACTTTTTCTCTCTCTCTCTTTTTTTTTTTTTTTTTTTTTTTTTTTTTTTTTTTTTTAGGTGAAGAGGATAAAAGACCAATAGTCAGCCCTTAATGGGTGATCAATTTGGGTGACCGGTTCAAACTCAAAAACCCTCTTAATGAGAGTTGAATGTGAAACTTTATAATTATAAGTCTACAGTTATACCAATTTGGTTAAATTTTCTATTCTTCTTCAATATAAATCTTCTTGTTTAATTTGTGATTATTTTTGCTATATTTTAAAAAGAAATTATAAGTGTTATTTATATTAAATCTTATAGAAATATATCATATAATGTGGTTTGCAACACTTGTTACTTTTCTTCAAACTCTTTTTGTGTGTGCGTGGAAATAAAGGTTGGAAAGGGAGGCCAAGATTATATATATTTGGTTCAAATCAAATATATCCGAGAAGTATTTTGAATTTTGGATATTATCAAACTATTATTAGAAATTTCTTTTTTTTTTTTTTTTTTTTTTTCAATAGAGATTCAAATTCTTGTTTGGTCAAAGCCACATTGCTTGCTTGTAATTTATAAGATTTGATACAAGTGGTAATACCCAATTGAAACCAAAACTGAGGATTTATATTCCATATAGGGGCCATGGTGTTTGGTTAGATAACTTTTCATTTATGAATTATGAATTAGGGAAAACGACACTTTTTTTCTTGAATTATATTCTTATAGCGTTTTTCTCGTTGAATTATTTATGTATTTTATTTGTTACCTTAATTATTTTAAAAGTTGTGATTTTCCTCCCTCCCGGTTAAATAGACTTTTGAGTTGTTAAAAATAAGGAAAAAAAAAAAAAAGAGAGGACAAAATAAGCATTTCAAGTCACTTCCCTTTCCCAACAAATTATTAGTGAAAATAAAAATAAATACAAAAAAGAACAGACACTATTTACAAATATTATAATTATATTTTAAATTAATACTAGTAACAACGTTACAACATAATACAAATTTAGCAATAATGTATTATTTGTATTTAAATCTTAATTCTGCATTAAGTTAAAATTATAATTATAATATTTGTAAACATTATTTCTTTTTCTATGTTTATTTTGATTCTCACATATAAACAATAATATGTTGGAGAATAAAAACAAATGAATACCCATTTTGCCATTAGTTTTAATAATTCAAAAGTGAAAAGGCTATGTAAACCGGGAGGAAAAAAAATTGTCACTTTTAAAATAATTGAGGGGCAAATGTAGATACATGAATAATTCAGGGAGAAAATGCGCTATAAACATATACTCCTTCATAGGGTAAAAGTGTCATTTTCCTTATGAATTATTACCACAATTTTCAACTGGCTATAAATGTTTCTGATCCAATGTATAAATTATGCTCCACAATTCCAACATATGATCCATAATCATAAATTTTGCAGACAGAATAGACAAAAAGTCAAGATCTAAATGCAGAAGAAAACTCCAGGTGAGAACTTTGATGTCTATTGCAGACACTCAGCTGGAATGGTAAAGTTTAATTACAAAAATTAACTAGAAAAAAAAAAAAAAAGAGGCTACATATACTCGATGTTACAACAGAAAAAGAGAAGCATAAACCAAAAGAATGTATAGCTACTAGAGACAAATCTACATCATATAATTTAAGCCATTAACAAAATTCAGCAATGATATTTGCTATATACAGAGACTAATAGACCTGAAGCCTGAAGGGAGTTCAGAGCCTTGGAGACATGAATGCAGGTTTAAATGAGCAGAACCAAATGAAATGCATTCCATCAAATGTTGTGGAAAAAGTAGCTTACTAGGAGGAATTTTCTGCTGGAATGGAGGACGATGTGCGGTTTATTTGAGTGAGTTTCCTAGATCCCCGGAGATTCTTGAGTGTCATCTTGAGTTTCTGTCTTTCACCTTCAACCTCCGCGAACTGGAGGCTTAGCTCAGAGTATCTGTCATGCATCTCTTTCAGTTCATTCTCCATTGCTGCATGCCTTCCTTTTAGTTCCAACATTTCTTTAATTACTGCATTGATGTCTCTAAAACTCTTGAAAATGGCTTCTTCGTCGCTGTGTTGTTTTAGGAAAGAACTGGAGAGGATAGAAAAAGGAAGAGTTACAAAAAGCATGAATATATCTTAAAAGAAAACTCAACTTTTCATATTCGCATTTGGTATTTATGTAACGATTGAATTGTGTCTCAGGTTCTAGAGCAAGTAAAGCACTTTAGGCTGTTAATATGTTGGCAATCTTCCCCATATGTGTGAAACAAAAATACTTCGATAACCACAAAGTTACAAGTTCAACTTCTAATGGGAGCAGCCAGTCAGGTATGTGCAACTTAGGTTTGGTTTACCTCCTTGTGGTCCTTTGCTGCTAGGGTCACAAGGCGGGATTTACCAAGTGCATATTCTCCGGTAGTGGATGTGGGTTTCTCTCGTCACTCAAAAATACTTTGATAACAAATTCCAACACTCTTACTTTCTCCTCTCCTTTCCACCACGAGAAAACAGACGACAAAAAATGAAAAGAGGCTCACTATGTAAGGAAGAAATCTTAGTGCAGTGAAGGGAACAAGATCTCCTCCATATTCTGCACCAGTCAGCTAAGCAACAAAAGTCGAAGTACAGTATACTACCTCTGGAAGATGTTTGGTTTGCTCTTTGTCTTCAAAGCTTCAGCAAGCTCAAGCTCCAGTGCAAGAACCCTTTCCAATGCATTACCACCAGTAGCAATTTCATTAAAAAGCGGGAACATGCTTCTAAGATCTTCATTTGTCTTTAAGAAAAAAAGAGTAAAAATGATCAGTGGAGATTATATAATACTCCTTAATAAAAAAAATATACATAGAAATGGAGCCAATGTCAACCTCATCAGCTAGTAGAAAAGAAGAGAATCTATATACCTTCTGTAATTGCACAAGTTCTCTCTGAGAATCTTGAAAATCTGGGTCACAATGATGATCCTTGGGAAAAAGATAGTTTTCATTTTTCATCCTTTCCAACTGCAGGCAACAGGCAAGATTATTTTGATGTTTGTCAAACTTCAGTTGCAAGTATGTGTATATATATATATATAAAAGATGGATTCCTGTCACCCCCAAGTACAGTAACACATGATAGTAAAATACCTCTTCATGTAGGTGCTCCATGCTAGCCCTCAAATTTTGGGTTCCAAAATGATTGTTCTTAAAATCAATACTTGCCGATGAAAGTCCTTCAATAGATAGATGTTGGGAATTCAGTTTCCCCTCAACGGACATAGTACCCTGATAAATAATGGGAAAAAAAAAAAGAAAACTCGTCAAAAACCAAAGACTTTTACATGAAAGAATGATATAAGGTAATATTAGAGATACCAACATATTGTTTTGCTGCAAACTAGAATGATTAATAGGTGTATAATTCTGTGCAATTACAAACCAGTGAATGGGTTTGATATTGTACATAGTGAAAAGAATTTTCAAAGAACACAAAAAGAGGCAGGATTTGGGTAAGACTCTTTTCGTTTATGTTGCTTCTATCTCTTTAAAGTGTCATGCATCTTTCAAGGGAAAAGCTATAAACATCATTCCATGAAATAGACACAGTATACTTATGTGTGAATATTGTGATATCGTGAAAAGCATTGCAATATATCATGGTAGCATCAAGCTATACTCATTAAAAATTACCCCAGCAGTTTGCAATTGGTTTAGCATAGTCAAATCTTCACTTTCACCAGCCAGATTTGAGCATGGATCCACCAACTTCTCAGGAGAAATCAGATTTTCCTGATGTGAGGAATTAGGAGATGAAGGTTTAGTTGACTCATCAGACCCATGTTTTACTTCTTTATGAGTACTTTGGGACTTGACATTCTCGAGTTGCTGTTTTATCACAGACAGTTCTGCTGCAAGTCTAGAACATTCTCCCATACATTCTTGCAAAGAGACTTCAAGCTTTTCCTTTTCTTCCTTGGAACATTCTAAGCTTAGAACTGCACATTCCAGTTCTGTCTTTATTCGATCATGAGCTTTAGAAATTTCACGCTTGTCAGAAAGTACCTCTTGTAGTTCAGATTCCAATCCCAAGAGCTTGAGAGCTAGTTCCTCATTTCTTTTAGAGTGTAAAGCGTCAGATCTCTTCCTACTTTCAGTTTCATCAACTGCATCTTGGAGCTTCAAAAGCATATCCTCTCCATGCCTTTTGGAAATAGAAAGCTGTTGCTTCAGTTCTTGCACCTTTGTCTCATACTGTTCTTTGATAAAAGCCATTCGCAAGGATTCTTGCCTGGCGACTGGTGGTCCTTCAGATTCCCTTTTTTCTCTAGCCAGGACACATTCAGCTTCAGCCGTATCCTTTAGCTCCTTCAAACGAACAGATAAATTCCTGAATTCTTCAGTCTTCAGAACTTGCTGGGAGAGCTTGTGTGCAAGCTCATTATACTGAGATTGTAATGTCAGCTGTTCATCTTGGTATTTCTCCAGCAAAGTCATGTGAGGAAGCTGTTCATCTAATTTGCTTCTCAGTACTGTCACCATGATGCCCAGTTCCTCTTTGGAGGCTATCAAGTACCAAATTTCTTCTTCGGCATTTGCCAGCATGTCTTTCAGATGTTCTACTTCAAGTGCATGACAACGTTTGGCCTGGGAAAGACCATCCTCAAGAATTGTAATCTGGTTCTTGTATTCCTCAACTCTCGCCTTTGTAGCACTGTTAGAATCTGAAAGAACCTTATTTTGAGCTAGAGAGGCTTCCAGATCAGATCTAACAGTATCAAGAGCTGTCAACAACTTTAAATTTTCTTCACTATGATGATCCTTACGTGCAAAATTTTGATTAAACTTTGCCTGTAGGTCATCATGTTGTTTCCTAAGATCTCCAAGACACTCATCAGATAGTTCAAGTTGCTGAACAAGTCCCTGAACAACAGTTCCATATTGGTTTACAGCAAAGGTGAATTTAACATCAGAGGCTATTAAAGATTCATGCATTTGCAGTTCAAGACTTTTAAGAGCATGAAGAAGGGACAAATCTTCCTTAAGTTTTTCAATACACTCATCACGCTGCAGCAAAAGATTATGAAGTCGAGATTTCTCCACTTCTAACTCTGATGCCTGCTCTTGAAAATGAGCAAGTTCGGTACTTAGCTTCTCCAAGTGAAGTACGTTGAGATGCTCCTCACTCAATTTGGAACTAAGATCTTTCAGCCTAGCCTCTAATTCGGAATTGGAACTTTTCTGAGAGTTCAATTCATCATGTAGACATCTCAAGTTATCTTTCAAGCTAATGATTTCAGATGCAAGCTTGACAGACTCCTCGGTCTTACCCTGTAAGGAAGCTATGAGATCTTGCTTCTCTTGTACTACACTAATGTTCTGCTTCTCTATTGAATGTAAGCTGCTATGTTTCTCATTCAATTGAAAAGTAAGATCTCGAATTGTCCCCTCGAGTTCAGACTTAGAATCTCTCTCAGAATGCAATTCATCATGTAGATTTCTCAAGTTTTCTTTCAGACAACTGATTTCGGATGCAAGTTTGGAAGATTCCTCAGTTGCACCCTGCAAGGACATCACGAGATCTTGCTTCTCTTGTATTAGCTTAGTATTACACTTCTCCAGATCAAGTAAGCAATTACATTTCTCATTCAATTGAAAAGTAAGATCTCGAATTGTCCCCTCATGTTCAGCCTTAAAATCCCTCTCAGAATGCCATTCATCATGTACACTTCTCAAGTTTTCTTTCAGACAACTGATTTCAGATGCAAGCTTGGAAGATTCCTCAGTTGCACCCTGCAAGGACATCGCGAGATCTTGCTTCTCTTGTATTAGCTTAGTATTACACTTCTCTAGATCAAGTAAGCAGTTACATTTCTCATTCAATTGGAAAGTAAGATCTTGCACCTTACCTTCTACTGCTGCCTTAGAAGCTTTCTCAGAACGCAATTCATCATGAAGACTTCTCAAGTTTTCTTCCAGACCACTGATTTCAGATCCAAGCTTGACCGATTCCTCAGTTTTAACTTGTAAAGAGATCATGAGATCCTGGTTCTCTTGTATTAGCTCAGTATTATGCTTCTCCAGATCACTTAAGCTACCGTGCTTCTCATTCAATTGAGACATAAGGTCTTGCACCCTAGCCTGTAGCTCAGCCTTAGAATCTATCTCGGAATGCAAATCACCATGAAGGCTTCCCAATTTTTCTTTCAGACCATTGATTTCAGATCCAAGCTTGGCACATTCCTCAGTCGTACCCTGTAAAGACATCATGAGGTCCTTGTTCTCCTGTAATAGCTCGGTATTACGCTTCTCCAGATCACTTAAGCTACCATGCTTCTCATTCAATTGAGACATAAGGTCTTGCACCCTAGCCTGTAGCACAGCCTTAGAATCTATCTCGGAATGCAACTCACCATTAAGGCTTCCCAAGTTTTCTTTCAGACTACTGATTTCAGATGCAAGCTTGACAGATTCCTCGGTCTTACCCTGCAAAGACATCATGAGGTCCTTGTTCTCTTGTAATAGCTCACTATTACGCTTCTCCAGATCACTTAAGCTACCGTGCTTCTCATTCAATTGAGACATAAGATCTTGCACCCTAGCCTGTAGCACAGCCTTAGAATCTATCTCAGAATGCAACTCACCATTAAGGCTTCCCAAGTTTTCTTTCAGACTACTGATTTCGGATGCAAGCTTGACAGATTCCTCGGTCTTACCCTGCAAAGACATCATGAGGTCCTTGTTCTCTTGTAATAACTCAGCAATCGTTGAGCTGCTTCTCCCAATTTCATCAGCTAAAGAATCCAGGCCTAATATCTCTTGAACAACATGCCCATTTCTAGATGCGAGGTTTTGCAGTTCAACTTCCAAGAGGGAGAGATCAGCCAAAAGCTCTCGGTTCTGTTGTGCATGTTTTTCCTCCACTTCAGAGGTGAAGTGGAGTTTATTTGCAACAGTTTCAAGTTCAAACTGAAGCTTCTCCACAAGGGCGTTAGATGTGCCTAATTTAGCCGCCATGTCCTGTATATTATTTTTAAACTTTTGCTTCACTGCAAGAATTTCTGAACTGGCTCTGCTAAGGGACACTTCAGAAGCATGTTTTTCAGCCTCTAGACACTTGTTATCTTCCATGAGTTGAAGAATCTTGCTACACGATTTATGTTGGATCTCTTCGACTTGGAGCAGAAGACCTTTGAGATTATTCAAGTCCAAGTCGGGATGATGGGCTTTACCCAAAGGAGGAGTCCCAATAAATTGCTCACCATAAGATTCCAAAACATTAACTAGCCTATCCTGCACAAAGCTGACATTTTGCTGAAGATTTTCCTTTGAAGAAACCAAATTGTCAAGTTTGGACTCAACAATTTTCAGGTCCTCCTTCAGAACAGATATTTCAGTATGAAGCATGCCATTTTCTAGCTTTCCTTGTTCCAATAAACTCGACAACTCTGCTTTCTCTTCCAAACAAGCTTCATATTTGCTCAGGCAATTTCTATATTCTGCTGAAATTACTTCTACACCCATGAGCTTCTCTGTGAGAAGACAGTTTTCCTTTGAAATCCCTTCCAGTTTATCCACTAAAATTTGATTCTGGAGAACAAGTTCATTGCACTTATTAATGAATCTAGCTTTGTCCTCATTTAGAATGCTAATATCTTCCAAAGCAACCTGCAGTTTTGCCATTAACTGATCCCTGCATTCGTTTGAAAACTCTAACTGCTGAGCAAGTTCATCCATATATTTCTTCATTAATACGGAACTATGATCTGCCTCGAGCATTGTTTCCACTAGAGTCTTGGAGTATATGTCCAAGTACAAATTCACAGAGTGCATTTCATTAAGGTCTTCTTCAACCTTCATATAAAGCTCTTCCTGTAAGAAGAGTGATTTCTTCAAGTCCTCTAAAAGGACATCTCCGCAGAGTGATTGTTTCCTCGTACTTAAATTTTGATTGTGGAACTGCAATTGCATTGTAGTATCAGAACTTTCTAAGTATTGCAAACCATTTACATACTCGAGGTCCTCTGCCATTGAAGGTTCTAAAAATGCTTGTTTGATGAGGTTCTCATTAGTCTGAAACATGGAGACAACCTGTGATGAAAGGAGCTCGAGATCCTTTTGTAACTTTTCAACAGCAATTGAATAGTTCATGCGTGCCCTCCTAAGAGCTGCTTCTGATGAAGCAGCTCTTTTCTCCAGCTCTTTGTTAATGGCATCTAAATTGCGATTCTCGTCAACAAGCTGGAGAATCTGGAGATTCATATCTTGGCGCAAGGACTCCATTTCAGCTTTACTGCTAGAAATTGTATACATGCAAGTAGAGTGCTCACTCCTAAGACTCTGCAGCTCTGTCAGCATTTGCTTCTGATTCTCCTCAAGTTCCTGAACGAGTGCTTCATAGTAGCACTCCATCTGATCCATTTTTTTGACAAGGTTTTCCCTTTCAAACTTTGCTTCATCCAGTTCTCTTATGAGATCGAAAATTTTTGTTTTCATTGCATCTACAGCACCCAGAGAATCCGGTCCTTGAGAGACAAGGGAAGGTATACTAAAATGATGAAGTATATCTACGGGTGGACACAAATCCAAATCCAACCCAAGTCCTGGCAAAGGGTGCTCCGTTTTCTGTAAAAAAGGGTCTCTTACCTCTTTTACATCCGTAATTACAGGTGGCACAATATTTAGCAAGGATATTTCGTTCTCTGACCCTTGTTTTATATCCTGCAGAATCTGCACCATTACCTCAAGTTCCGACTGGAGAAGCCTATGTTCTCGTTCATGGAAACCAAGGTAAGTCTTATTTTGAAGGTCACGTATCCTGTCTTCCAGCAGTAAAATTCCTTTGATCCATTTAACTTGTACTTCTTGAACTAAGTGGCCACAATCAGCATGTACATTTTGTTTTTCTGTACTCTGAGGGCTTGTTTTTAAATTCTGTAGTCTTTCAACGTCATCTTTGAACTTCAAACATTCTAGTTTCAGGACAGAGACCTCCTTTGCCAATTCTTCACCAGAGGATATCTCAGCGGCAAGAAGGTGAGCAAACTTTTCGGCTTCAATGCCTAGTTCATTAGCTTGACTTTGCAGAGAACTCACTTCAAGCTTCAGCTCAAAAACTGACGTTTCTGCCAGTTCTAAGCTTCCTCTGAGTCGATTATTCTCATCACAAGCAATTGCCAAGTCATTATCCATAGAGCAGTCCGAAACCCATCCATGAACTGAATCATTACTCCCACGAGCCACGACTTGACTTTCAGAAGGAGTTGTTTGTCTTGGCTGTGGGCTTTGACTATTGGGAGGTTCATTTGAGTCACCAAAAGCTGCACTCTTCAGGCTATTGGTTTCCTGCATGCTGGAGGCATCATTTTTTTCAGCATAGAAACTTTCTGATGCATTAGAAGAGCCATCAAATCCGACAGCCATATCTCCATATTCTTCTACTTCTTCAACTGACGAAAGTTCTTTAGCATCTGGTCTGAATCTAGCCCTTCTGTTGCCCTGCATCACCGCAAAAGGAGCCAAAGGGGGAATTATACTTACAAATGGCCAAGAAACTATATCAACATAAAACTCTGTCCAAAGAAGAGGCATAACACATGCCATATAGTATTGACCACTATTAATTGTTTGATTTGGTTAAAAAAATCAATATAAGTGTTTGGTTAATTAGCTTTTTGTAACTCCAAAATGCTAAAATTCAAAAAGTTGCTTAAAACAACTTTTTCAATTAGCTTTTTGAGAGAAGAAATTATACCAAACAGTCATCAGCTAACAGCTAATTTACGAAACACATTTCTACAATCAGCTAATGTTATCAACTAGTTATACTCTCTAATTAACCCAATCAGCTAACAGCTAACAGCTAATAACCATTTTACCAAACAGGGCCTTAGTCAGTATCTAATACATACTAGAAAAGTTGGGTATACAAAGTATACTAACCAGGAGTTTGAGTATGCAAGTGAATTGAACCAACTACAAAGAATTAGGCAATTAGATAAACATGTATGAGGTCAGGAATTAACACCTTTTCCATTTCACCACGAGCAGCGTCTCTGGAGACCGACACTTTTCCAGGGCCTGTGTCATCAGGCTTATTATCAACTCCCGACTGCAAACCCCTCTCCCGGAGTTCCCTTTGCTGCTCAAACTCTCTGTAGCCAAATATACACTACTATAAGTTGTTACAGAGAGTGATTATTATCTACATATCCATTTAATGATGCCACACCTGAATCCTGTTTTGGATGTTAGCAACTGTACAGTGACCTGGCATAATAACATTTAGTCAATAAAAATATCAAAAGAGACAACATTAATTGATTAATGCAACGATGAATTCAATCATTGAGTAATCCAAAGCTGGTAAAGGATAGCACAATGTTGAAGATAAAGTAGAAGACAAGTGCAAGTTACAACATCATGAACTATTGCTAACTACTACTAACAAAGATTGGGCTAGGGTCACTCAACTAGGCTATAATGAACATGGGCCAAACCACACTAAAAGATTAAAATCCAACCAATTAGCCAGTCTAACCCATGGCCTTATAAACCCATATGTTCTCTCTTATTTTATAGATGTGGGACTCTTAACATTATTCAAATATTAAATTGATAATTGATCTTAACCTATTAAGATCAAGACATAGAAAACCACAAGAAGGCTCAAGTTGCACATAGTGTAGATAAGTGAAAAAGAAAAATACTAAAAAAGCAATTTAATGAAAAAAAAAAATGAAAAAAAAAAGTGTGACAATCTATTGCAAAACATCAATGTAATAACTGTGAATTGCCCAGGTAAAGAGTGAAATGTTGAAATAGAAAGCAGAAGAAATATTTAGGAAAACCATAATCACTCACATGTAATATAGTTCCTGTATTGCCTCCATGAAGAGGTAATGCAACTACAGAAGGCTTCGAAGCATCCGCATGTTCGGCAAGGTTGATTGTAGCCTCACCGAGAATACTAGCTCGCGAAGAACCCTAAAAGCAGTAAATTAAATTCAGAGCCATAGTTACTACTGCAAGAAACTAAAATTCATAGGATATGCAAGGAAAAATGGAGAATTAATTTGATCTAGTTGTCCCATGAGCTGAAAATGGAAGCATTTTTTCAATTAAAGGAATGACCATAGATCATGTAGATACATAAGAAGGGCATAGAATGCAGTAGGAAAGTTCACCATTGCAACAACAATTTTGTACAGCTTCTCATCATATTCTTTGTTTTTTACATCTTGGAGAAGCCTCGTAGTCTCATAAATAGGATCTGCCCATTTGCATGATCCATTTCTCACACTTGCTTTAGTTGTCTTTGCTGTTGTCTTGCCGGAGTCTGCTGGGATAAATGATATAAATAATTTGTCCCATCCAGTTTGTGGGATCTGTAACATGAAAAGGGACAGGACTTTGTTTAGTGAATGCATCCACCACGGAAAAGGCAAGCATTTTAAGAAACCATCTTCCTCCTTGGACAAAGCATTGATGATTTTTATTGTGTACTTCACCAGAAGAACTTGAATGCCAAAGAATTGGCTGAATTAATGGCTTCTACAGAGTAACTACGAAGTAGAATTTCAAGTTCAGAACTGGTCAGTTTGACCCTAAGGAAATGAAAAAGTTCCCAAGAATTCAAATGGAATAAACATGAGACAAGACAAACACAATTTTAAGCACAATATAACACAAACACAAGTTTCCTTTAAACTGTCCAGCTTACAAACAGAATCTAAAACAAAATCCACCCAAGTCTAGAGTGAGAATGTGAGGATCAAAGAACTGAAAGAAGACCGCATAACAAAATGACTCCGAAGCCACAACTATATACTAAACATATCATTAGAAAGAGGGCTCATAGAAGATCATATGCAATTCCATATATTGAAGGGCAAGCTTACATGTGTTGCATGAAACTGAAGCCGAAAGACCACTTTAACTTTATTCTTCTCAAGCTTCCACTTGGTGATCCTCGACATTATTGCGATTCTAGTCTAACAACAGCTAACAACCCTGGGCTCCCTTGCCTATGTATGTACAAGAGAATCTCAGTTTCCCTGTAAGAATCTTTAATCAGAAAGTGCCAATCCAATTTTTGCATAGAACCATATCAATAAGCAGAAAGAAGGCTAATAGATGAATAGCAACCCAAGTCCTATGTAGAAAATATTGTAACAATGAACAAGTGATGACACCAGCATTCTTTTAGCCTGATAGTAATTCATGATGTTGATTGTTAACCATTTAAATCACAAATTCCTACAAAAATTATAGGATGCATAAATTAGCTCAAAGAATTACAACCCCAATTAAAAGGCCATTGGGAGAAAAACAAGAAAAGGGGAAGATGGAATGATGGATGGTGGGTGGGTTCTATAAGCTGGCATTAGTTGAGAGGCAATGCAGTGATCTTAATGTTCATGATAACCCCAAGAACTATATGCACAAACATTAACTAATGCAAAACAATCAGTAAGTGAGCTGGAACTAAACCCCAGAGTGTTCCAAGGGAGATCAGAAGAACCGGATCTTGAAAACTACTCAGACAACATGAACTACTCCGAGCTGAAAATTGAGCAAAATCCAGGAAATGCCACTTCTCAATTAAACAAATAAGCTGAAGATCAACGAAACCTATCTGATCCCAACCTTTGACTTAATCAATAACTTCCACAAGATGCCACTTGAAGAAAAAAACAGACAATCTGGATCGCCCAGAAACTGCTGAAATTATGGGACCCAGAAACAATCAAGGCCTTAAAAAACTGAACAAAGTGAGTCCTTTTCTAGAAAATGAACTCCAGCAAATTTAGCAAAGATGCAGTCAATAGTGTGTCCCAAAAAGCCCAAGAACAAAGAGAAAAGGCCAAGAAAGATAAAGAAAACAGTGAACTACCATCACTATTTCCACATTCAAAAACACAAAATACAATCTTTTATGGCTTGCCTGATTCTCACTGCAGAATGCACACACGTCAGCTTCGTAGCAGTGACAACATCAGTGGGTCTTCACGCATTTCGCATTCAAAAGCTCCCACACCATATTCAAGAAAAAATTAAAGAAAATTCGAAAATATCATATATTTTTTTCAAAATATAATAATAATAAACTCCTAGTGTACAAATAAGGAAGTCTGTAGTTGTCTGAATCTACCTAATTTATGAGATTTGGGGAGAGCTTAAAATGCAAGGAAGAAAATAGAAGAATCTTTGGAAAGAAGAGAAAGGGGAGACTCAGAGGCAGACAGACAGACAGACAGGGGCTGGAGCGTATATTTTCAATAAATCTGGGGGTTTAAATTTTCTGAATTCAAATGTTCTACAGGCTGACGTCACTCAGGAAGAGGGGTGGAACTGCAATTAAGGTAGAAAGTAAGGGGTGATGTGTAAAGAAAGAGAAATCCCGCCAAAGGACCGTAATTGTCATTGATTAATGATAGATTATCTGTGACCGATTGCATGAGTTGGTGGGGGGAACGTGTGATGTTACTAAAATGACCCTCACTTCTTACACTGCCTGAAATATCGGTAAAATTGTTGTTTTTTTTTTTTCAAACAAATAAAAATAAAAATATATCCAATTAATTCACTTTGTATAAAAATGATCGAACTGATCTATTATTTAACCATATTTCAACGATTTTATTGACGAAAGACTAAAAATAGTCATGTCACATATTTTAACCTGTCTAGTAGGTTGTTACTTCTCAATATGACATGTGTCTATTTTTTGTTTTTACTTTTTTAATAATTTTTTTAACTTTTTTTTTTGTATACTATATTCATAGACGAAAATTACAATTCTCCCTAATTTAAATAAGCATTATTATATAATCATTAATATTAGGGGGTGTAAAAGTGGAAATTAATAAGTAAACAATCTCAACTCCACGGCGCAATAATTTGGTGTGTTTGTTCGGTGGGTGGTGTGGAGTCTGATGAATCTCATGATGCCTCCACAGTCCACACTGAGGTCCAGTGGAGGACAGATCGGGGTTTGAAATTGACGTCAAATAATTGACGAGATTGCCCCCAAAGGTTGACTTGGGAATTCAAGAAAAAAATAATCCTTGTAGTTGGTAACCTGGTCTTTTATCATACGGAGTATTTATAACTACTACAGAATAATTCATTATTCATATTTCATTCCAAGACATCATTCCTGGAGTAGTTTGCAACAATAAAGGTACATTAAACAAAACTTCCTCTTGTTCTAGATACTCCGAATAAAATAAGATATAACGGGACAACACATCCAAACTGATTGACAATTAACTTGGTAATTATAAGATTTCAAATTTAACTCTATGTGAAAGTTATCTATTGACATTATTAATTATGATCGATCAGTTATGAATAACGTAAATTGGTTTATCTCTATGTAATTATGGGGTATTTGATTTATAGAGTTACAAATTCAGAATGCTAGTAAGAAACATTTGATTCATGATAAACATTGGAAACAATGATTATCTGTCAATTGATCCAAATTTGGGTCGATTGAATTGTGAGATTAATCTAATAAATTTAAATTAAATTATAAAGATTGACTTTTATTCAAATTAGACAAAAAATTACATCTTTTAACTTTATAATTATATTGAGGGAAAAGGATCAAATAGGCCCTCGAACTTTAGCTTAAAAGTCAATTAGGTCCCTAAACTTTTTAAATGTGCGATTACACCCATCAACAATTCATTTAGGTGCAATGAAACCCAAAAACAAGTTAATGACCTGCTATCACAGGTCATTAGGGTTCAAGCCACCTTCCAGCAATTTTTTCGGCAAAAAAAAAGTGAACAGCATCCAACCCAGATTTGCCGAAAATTTCTCCGGTCACTTTTTTTTGCTAGAAATTTCGCCGGTCATTTTTGTTTTTTTTTTTTGCCAAAAAATTCGCCGGAAGGTGGCCTGAACCCTAATGACTTGTGATAGCATGTCATTAATTTGTTTTTGTGCTTCATTGCACTTAAATAAATTGTTGATGGATGTAATTGCACCTTTAAAAAGTTTAGAGACCTAATTGACTTTTAAGTTAAAGTTCGAGAGCCTATTTGACATTTTTCCCTTATATTAATAGTTTGTTTATTAATTGTTTCAAATTATCATATGTTAGCTTATGCCACCAAACCGGCCTATCTCATTTGTGGCATTCTCAGCTCCTTAAATCCCTCCTGATGAGTGTTTTACGCATTCCACAAGTTTGATTGACTATCTTAATCACACCACCTAATCCCCCATCAACCTTACCAATTTTATTTATATATTAGCAATTAGCATGCACCACCCTTAAATAAGCACAAATGAGACCATCCCTTAAAAATTAAAACATATTTGTTTGTGATGGACATGAGTGTCTGAGTGGGTGGAATATAATTCTCGTATGAGAATGATTTTACAAGTGTGATTCTTGTCAACACCATCTCAGTTAAACTCATCACATAAAGCTTTCATAGTGCAGTTTATTACCTTTCTAAAAAAAAAAAAATTTATTAGTATTTAAATGTGAAACATCTATTATAGTCAATATATTATTTCGAGTATTTTAATAAAAAAAAATATTCAATTAGAGGATATTATGATTGAATTCATATTTTTAATATAATCTGTCCTACATTCATCTTTTTAATTAACCTCTCCCTAATTTCGTATTGGCCTGGTTATTTTATTATTAAATAAAACATTTTTATCCGTCTTTGCTTTCTAAAACTTTCCCTGGACGGATGCACTACTGCAACGTCACCTTTTTTTTTCTTTTTTTCTTTTTTTCTTTCCACTTTATTTTAAAGGAAAGTAAACATGACAATGGCTACTGACTTATTTCTCCCCAACTCTTTCTTTTTGAGTTTTTGGGGAAAAATAGCTGTTTTGATACGCTTCAAAAAAAAAATACTAATTAGATTTTGTTTTGCTGGGTGAGGCAAAAATAGTTTGTATTGTTAAAATAAAATACAAATAAATATGAGACTGTAAGTAATTGACTATACATAGATACTTTATTTACAAGTCTATTATTATACTTGGAAATAAATAATTATAAAAAAATAGTTATGTCTCTCTATATACATTACATGAAATTCGTTGTTATTAACAAATGTATATTAATTAGTTATATGAAGATTTTATATTATCTAAATTAAAATTAATAAGTACGAATGAAATTTATATATGCACTTCATTTATATATGTTTTTTGTTACTCTTTTTTTTTTTTTTAATACATTATGCATGTTATCTGAGTTGTACTATACAATATTTTAGTTAAAAATACTCTTAACGTTATAATTTCGTTATATTTTTCAACTATTGTTGTCATGCATATGCATCCACTATATATTTTCTTATCTTCTTCAATGATAATAATACATAGACATTATATATTGGAGTACTATATAAGTTATTTCTAAAATATAAATATAAAATTTATAAAAATAGTTTACATACATTATTATTATTATTATTATTATTATTATTATTATTATTATTATCATTATTATTATACAATAATATAAATATCTAAAATCTAAATAAATCTAAAATAATATATAGTATTAATATTGGACATCAATTTTTGCGCATAGAAAATACTAGTCAAAACAATAATACTTGAGGTAATTTCTATTCCTTTTATTATTATGCTAGAGAAAGTTGCATTGCTTTTTTACCAGCCAGTGGGCAATTCATTATAGCACTTTTAAGGAAATCAACTTAATAGAAAAGCTTAATTATGAGGATGTTAACATACAGCAGCTTTAAATAAATTTTTATTTAGATAAAGTGAGTGTGGAGGAAAACATTAAAGGGCAATCATATCGATCGGTTATAGGTGTAACTGTATAAGTGTCTAACTCAACACTAAATTATACACTTATATGAATAAGGAGGTCAACAAATTTTTACTTTGTTCATAATTGACCTACTCAAATCAATAAGGATAATAAGTCTATCATTACGTGCGACTATCCCCACTATAGAAAGAAAACAAATAAAGAAAATTTGTGTTGGCAAGGCTATGATGAGTCAAATTTGTAACATGCATTATGATTACCAAGTCAACAACATAATCAACTTGATTGAGTTTATTGCGGTTACGTGGACCATTTATCATAGGTTGTTAAGGTTGTATTAAAGAAATAACACCGAAAGTATAAACTCTGCCTCTTAATTTATACTGATGGATTTAATAATTCGGATAGACCGAATCAATAAACCCGATAAATACTGTAATAGAGAATGGATAAGAAAATAGGCAAAACGATGTCGTAAATAACGATTATGTTGCGGAGACCGAATATTATATTAAATAACAATTATCGAGCTATTACAAGGCGATGTAACGCTATTACAATGGTAGTTTAATTTAGGACAAATATGATAGAATAATGTAAGAGAGAGAATCTGTCCTAATGTAAAACAAACCCCCAACCGGCCCTTAAAACGGAGAACGATTACATCTCCCGCACGGACCGTGCCCAGGTTCGAGACCAGGTCCGCGGGCCAGTCGTGCCGAGCTCAATATGGACGACCTCTCTCAGGCCGAGGTACCTTGGGCCGAGCACGGAGTTCTCCTGAGCCGAGCTCAATCGTTATGCTATGGACACATGTCCAGCGTGCATTGTGGACACGGTAACGGTGCCGTTAGTGGCACTGTTATCTTCCACTTTTTAAAAAAAAAAATAATAAAATTCAGACCACTTCGTTATAGGAGTATATGTTCATAATTTTATTACTATATGTTCATATATAATTGTAAGTTCATAATGTCAGAGCTCTGTGTTCATAATTCCAGAACTGTACATTCATACTTCCATAATTGTACATTCATAATTCCGTAACTGTACATTCATAATTCAATAACTATAAATTCATAATTTTCGAAGCTCTATGTTCATAATTTTATCACTATATGTTCATATTGTAAGTTCATAATGTCAGAGCTGTGTGTTCATAATTTCATAACTGTACATTCATAATTCTATAAATGTTCATTCATAATTCACTAATGTACATTCATAATTCTATAACTGTACATTCATAATTTTCGAAACTCTATGTTTATAATTTTATCACGATATGTTCATAATTGTAAGTTCATAATTCCATAACTTACCTTCATAATTTCATAAATGTACATTCATAATTCCATAATTGTACATTCATAATGCCACAAACAAATAACGCTGTTAACAACGAGGCAAAATCAATTTATTTTTTTAAAACTAAAATGCCGCGTTTTCCTTGAAAACGACGTCGTTTTGAAC